AAAAAAAAAAAAGACTCTGTCTCCAAACCCCCCCCTCCAAAACAAGAAAAGCCAGGAGTCCCCACCCTGGTCTCCTCTTTTCCTTGCTGCTACTTTCCCAGGACTGAGGTGACTCTGTGCCAGTCTTACTCTATTCAGCTTATAGTTAGTCCTCCCAAGCATGCACTCCACTTCCATCCTGCTTCCCTTGGGATCCCTGAGGGATAAAAAGGGCCAGAGAAAAAGTTTATGAAACCAGCAGCACTCTAAGGTCATGTGACTCTTCATGACAGGCAAGCTGCCTAGGGGTAATCAGATTCCAGTTAGAGTTGCCAGCCCTGGACTTTGTGCCTATACCTCACAGGGTCCACAGAAAGGTTACAGAAAATCCTTCCAGGGGTAAATGTGCCCAAGAAGAACTTGGCTAATGTCTGTAAGTGTTAAGCTATTGTCTGTACTCTGCTTTAATTATAAAGTAATTTTTTCTTCCACTGCCTTAGCTTTGGCTGTTGCCACATTCTGTCAGGGTTCAGGCAGCTGTCTGCACCTCGGCTCTTGGTGGAAAACTGACCAGACCCATCAAAAGCAAGGCAAGCATGAAACAAGTTTATTGAGGGAGAAAAAGATGAGTTTACCCCAAGATATGTTCACCATAGACAACGGGTCCCCTTGTGACTGTAAAGGGTCTGGTAATGGTCTGGGGTCTTGTTTTATACTGTCAGAATTGGACATTCCTCGTGTTTCAGACATTACCATGGAACCATTTTGATGGACAGTTAATTACATGATAATTAGCCTTGTTATTACAGGTCACTTTCCAAATCTTACTGTGCCTGAGTTGTCTGGCCCATGGGGAGGGGTGTTCTTCTTCTAGATGTGGCAATTGCTGGGTATAGGATTAATGTAGGCCAGCACCAAGACATGCCCCGCCCTTGTCCTTCTTAGGTGGGACAATCGCTGGAGGCAGCACCAAGGCAAAGCATCCACTTTGTCCATTAGGAGAGTCTCTGGGATTCCTTGCTATCTACCTAATAGTTCTACTAAGCCCTAAGCCCTTCTCATGGTCCTCAGGCTCAGCAGTGTTGTAGAACCTATCGTTTGTGCCCGTTTGTGTCCTGAGATGCTGATCTAGCGGTAGCGCTCCGCTGGTAGAAGGAAGCTTCAAACTTAACAACTACTAAGTGCATGTAGCGGGGCGGGGTCGGGGACCGCGCAGGGCATTGTGGGTGCATAATTCAGCTAGAGCGTCGTGGGCTTGTAGGTCCAATGGGTGAACTACATTTCCCGTGGGCCCTATGCCCCGCTGGCCCACAGAGATATGTGCGCTTAGCCTCCTGGGAATAGTAGTTTTGGCCGCGTGGATGTGGGTATGGCCTGAATTGCCGGGAACTCTCCTTCCCAGCGACCTGTTTGGCAGGGCGGGGCGCCTCGCGAAGATGGTGGCGCGCGCGGCGTGTGGCTTCTGTTGTTCGGCCAAGTCTCAGCGCGGCGCACTGGCTGGTGTCTCGCTGGCCTGGAGCCCCCCCCGCCGGGTCCCTGACCCTCTTCCCCCTGCGCTCCCTGCGCTCAGTTCCCGGCATGCCTCGCGCCCGTAAGGGCCATGCGCCCCGCAAGGGCAGCCGTCGCCGTGGAGGAGGTGAGTTGGGGATGCGGGGGGGGGCAACTAATGAGCGAAGAGCGGGGCTCTGCATCGGTCTCCGACTTCATCTCTAAGGGTCCTGGGGTAAGGAACGCCCGCTTGACCAGTCTGGCGCAGCTTAACACCAACTCTCTTGAGGCCCGCACGTGTCCCAGCAGGCATCCGCCACGTGTGCACCCAAGTTGAACTTTTAGCCGCTTGTGCCCCCGGGAGTGACCCCAGAAGCCCCTCTGGGCTTCAGTTTTTCCATTGCCTTTCCATCCCAGTTGCTTACTTAAGTGGACAAATTCAGTCAACAGAGTAGAAGCCAGTTTCTTCACCAAACTGATTCTTTCTTGGACTGGACGAGGAAGTTGGTGCGAGGCCTGCTCTGCTACAGAGAACAGAGGCAGGAAGCTGTTGGGAAGCTACAGGATTGGGGCTACAGAATTGGGGCCTTGGTGGGCCTGGCTGCAGGTGAATATCCTAGAGCCTGAGGCTTGTGACTCACTTATCAGCATTGACCAGGACCCTGTCCTAGTGCAGTAAACACATGTTTACTCTGCTAGGATGGGATGCCTGCCAGGCAGCTTTAAATTGGCCACCGCCCTGGTGGAGTTTGGGTGGAGGAATATCTAATAGGGTAGGGAACATGTTCACTTAGTAGTGTCAGACCCAGACTTAGGAACTAGGTTAGGGGCTTCTGGGTGAGTTCTAAAAGGTGGAGAAAAGAGCACTATGCAGAGAGAACAAGTTGTGCAAAAGCCAGGCAGCTGGAGGTACCACAGCACAATGGAGCAAATGCAGAAACACTGGGCTGAATTGGCAGGTAGAATAGTGAAAAGGTGAGCAATGACCAGCAGGCTGGACTTTGTCCTGTAGGCAAGGGGGTGTAAGTAGTTCTGAAAAGTAGAACCAGCTTGGTGATCATAATCTGTCCAAAGCACCGCGGTAGTAGCCACACTTGCCAGACTCAGCCCTTGGCCCTGACACATCCCCCACACAGGAGTGCTCCAGCCCTACTGATCCTGATACTCCTCTATGTTCGCCTTCACCTATTTTCAGGGACCCATAGCTGAAGGCCATGCATAGACCAAAAGAAACTAAGAAGACAGTATGCTGGGGTACCCTCACATACCCATTAGAGCTGGGCTGGATTTGTTGGCCCATAGCAGAGCCCTAACAAATCACTTGTCTTCGTCTGCTTCACCTGAAAGAGATGCTTTTGCATAGCTGTTTTGCAGATGAACTGAATCTTTCAAGGCTGGGCAATTGACCTGTTTATACCCCTGTTAAGATGTGGAGCTAGCGCTTGTAGTCCCAGCTACTTAGGAGGCTGAGGCAAGAAAATTGCTTAAGCCCAAAAGTTTGAGGTTGCTATGAGCTGGGACACCATGGCACTCTACCAAGGGCAACATAGTGAGATTCTCTAGTTACCTAGCTACTTTTGAGGATAATCCAGGTTGGTAGCTAAATTCCTATCTAGATATGCCTCTGTTCCAGGCTGGGCCATGGGCCTAGGTGAGACCTTTGCAATCCCATCTGCTTCTACCTAGCTCCCAGTCTCCTTAAACCAAGCTTTGGCCTCACAGAGGTTCTGCCCACCAAGCTTGTCAGGTTATCTCTAGTCTAGATCTAGTTCCTGATGCCATCCAACAGAGAGATGACCACCTTCCCTCTCTGCTAGATTGAGTACCCCGCTCCCTTCTCCTCAGGTGTCCAGAGCAGTGCCAAAGCTGACTCAGGTTCCAGTGAGGATGAGGCAGCCAGTGAGGCCCGTAGCATCACCAGTGAATGCCCTAGCCTTCTCAGTACCACTGCAGAGGACAGCCTTGGTGAGAGTGGGTGGCAATTTGACAGGGATGCAGTGAGGGATCCTTTGAGGGCAAGAAGCAGTGCTGACCAGCTGGCCTTGCAGGGGGGGATGTCGTGGATGAGCAGGGCCAGCAAGAAGACCTCGAGGAAAAGCTGAAGGAGTATGTGGACTGCCTCACAGACAAGAGGTACCCTGGCTGCCAGCTAATTCCTACACCCAGGGCCTTGCTTAGCCCATGCCAAGTGTGACCAAGGGAAAGCTGACTCATGTGACCCTTCCTTCTTCCCCCTACCACTAGTGCCAAGACCCGGCAAGGTGCTCTGGAGAGCTTGCGCCTGGCCCTGGCATCCCACCTAGTCCCGGACTTCTTGCTAGAGCGCCTTCTCACACTGGCTGATGCCCTGGAAAAGTGCCTGAAGAAAGGTTGGAGTCAGGGGCATTTGTGGGAGACTTAACACTGAGAAGGTGCTAACCCTTACTGCATGTGCTGACTCAGTATCCCACAGGGAAGGGTGAGGAACAGGCCCTGGCTGCTGCCATCCTAGGCCTGGTCTGTGTACAGCTGGGCCCTGGACCCAAAGGTGAAGAGGTATTCCACAGCCTGCAGCCTCTGCTAGTCTCTGTACTCAGTGACAGCACAGCTACCCCTGCTGCCCGGCTCCATGTAAGTATCTCCATGAAACCCTTTGTCTGTCTTATCCGTTAGCAAGATGGTGGGTTCCACCTGCTTTCAGGCTTTCCTACTCTGAAGGTGGGTAGGCCTCAAGGCTGGGAAGCTAAGCTCACCCCCTGACCATGGCCTGGCCTTGTCCTTCCAACAGTGTGCTTCTGCTCTTGGCTTGAGCTGCTACGTGGCTGCCACTGACATCCAGGTGAGTAAGTGGCCTTTGGGCACAGGTGGTAGAGCACCTACACCTGTAGCTCTGCCCCTGAGCCACTCCCACTGCCTCCCTGTGCTCCTAGGACCTGGTCTCTTGTCTTACCTGCTTAGAAAGTGTTTTTAGCCGGTCCCGTGTTGGCTCCACAGTCCCAGTGGTACCTACCAGTTTGCATGGCTTGCTCTGTGCTGCCCTGCAGGCGTGGGCATTGCTGCTTACCATTTGCCCCAGCACCCACATCAGCCACATTCTTGACAGGTAGGGGGTACTGCCCAGTGTAGGGAGGAGGGGATCTTAAAGAGGGCTCTAACCCATACATGTAGCTCAACCTGCCTCTTCCCTAGGCAGCTGCCCCAGCTGCCCCAGCTCTTATCCAGTGAAAGTGTGAACCTGCGAATCGCTGCTGGTGAAACTATCGCACTGCTCTTTGAGCTCGCCCGCGACCTTGAGGTTTGAGGGATAGGGGTGGGGTGGGGTCCCAGTTGATACCACCTGCCTATCCCAGGCCAGGTGCAGGAAACGCTGCAGAAAATAGAATGGTGATAAATGATAATGCAATGCAAGTGGCCCCAACACAGACTCATGTGCTAGGTCCTTTTTTTTTGTTTTTGTGCAGTTTTTGGCCGGGCCTGGGTTTGAACCCTCCACCTCCGGCATATAGGGCCAGTGCCTTACTCCTTTGAGCCACAGGCACTGCCCCTCATGTGCTAGGTCCTATGAAGGAGGCCCTGAGTAGCGGCATCCCTGCCTAGGCAGAGGCCAAGGAGAGGTTCAGAGCCAGGCAGAGAAGAAAGGGGCTCTTCAGTGAAATGAGGGGTTTGAGCACCCACATGTTAAGAGCCAGCAGAGCTTAGGCTTCTGCCATACACCCCCTGTCATTCCTATTGCAGGAGGACTTTGTTTATGAGGACATGGAGGCTCTTTGCAGTACCCTGCGCACTTTGGCCACTGATAGCAACAAGTACCGTGCTAAGGCTGACCGCCGGCGCCAGCGCTCTACTTTCCGAGCTGTGCTGCACTATGTTGAGGTGAGAACTCATGTATTAGGGAGAGGGCATCTCTAGGCCTTGCAGCCAGGCCCAATCAAATGGGCCCTTCTGCCCTGCAGGGTGGTGAGTGCGAGGAAGAGACAGTCCGCTTTGGGCTTGAGGTGCTCTACATGGACAGCTGGGCTCGGCATCGGATCTATGCTGCCTTCAAGGAAGTGCTGGGTTCGGGCATGCGCCACCACCTCCAGGTGGGGAGGACAGGAAAGGGGCACTTGGCTGCTTGAGGCTGGCCCGAGCTCACTGTCCTCTCTATTGCCAGAATAATGAGCTGCTCCGTGACATCTTTGGCCTGGGTCCAGTGCTGGTGTTAGATGCTGCTGCACTGAAGGCCTGCAAAATTCCACGATTTGAGAAGGTTTGCACCCTTGGGCACTTTATCTTCCCTCCATTTCCCTGTTTCCCAGAGACCTAGAGCTCTGCAGGGGGTTCCTCCTTCCCAGCTCACCAGCTCATCCCTCTTTGCCCCACCCTAGCACCTGTACAATGCTGCTGCCTTCAAAGCCCGGACCAAGGCTCGAAGCCGTGTGCGGGACAAGCGGGCAGACCTCCTGTAAAGCAGGACTAGCTAAAGAGAAGATTAGCCACACCCTTGCCCATATTTTTAACAGAAGACAGTGCAACACTTGGTCTTTGCCAGTAATTGTCACTTTATTTTTTTAATACCCAAACCAAAAACAGATATGGAGTGGGTGCCGGGGCCCGGACACTTGGGACCCTGGCCTTTTGTCCCTGCGTTGAGCCCTGTGGCCTCTTCTGTCCTGTCTTAGGCCAGGCCAAATGTGTCTCGGGGTTGTGGGGCAGACAGTAGGGGGACTGTCCCTTCCTCTTCTTTCTCAGGCCTTGCTCCCCTGGAATGACCCACTTTCTTGGGAGAGATGACATCTAGACAAATGCTACCACAGCAGGTGGGGAGGCAAAGCTACCTGGAATGGATTTGTGTGCTGATTTTTAACTAGAGATAATTAAACAGAATGCTCAGGCTTCTGTGTTTTTTTGTTTTTTTTTTGAGACATAGAGTCTTTTTGTCACCCTCGGTAGAGTTCTGTGGCATCATAGCTCCTGGCAACCTCCAGCTCTTGGGCTTAGGCGATTCTCTTGCCTCAGCCTCCCAAGTAGTTGGGACTACAGGCGCCTGCCACAATGCCCAGCTATTTTTTGTTGCAGTTTGGCTGGGGCCAGACTGCAGCCACCCCGAACCCACCACCCTTGGTATATGGGGCCAGCGTCCTACTCACTGAGCTACAGGTGCTGCCCCAGCCTTCTGTGGTTTTGACTCCTGGGTATCTAGCTCTGTCTACTTTCTCTCTACATCTGCCACCCCAAGCTGGGGCTTACCTGGGTGTTCCTCCATCTCACCTGTGCCCTTCAAGGCAGTCTTTCCCTAGGTGACTTTGAGAGCTGATGCTGGGATCCCACTTGAGAGGCCTAGCAGAGTTTGTGGGACTCAATGGGGGCAGCTATTTCTAGACTTCTGAACTTGCCATCTGGGGATAGCCAGAGGGTACTGACAAGACCATGGGAGGAGCCAGGAGGTTGATGCCCCTCCCACTGCCCTTGGACCACCCAAAGCAAGGCCTAGGCACCAGAAGCCTTGGCTAGGCCTGGCCTGAAGAGGTCAGGAGACTCAGGCAGCTCTAGAGTCAAATCAGGTTCTTAGACAGAAATCTTACCAAGAAAGTAGTATAAACATGTCCAGTAGCAGGAGAGGAGAGGCCTGCCCATGGCTACTTTATCCCCCCAACTTATACTCCCCCAGACCCCAGGTCCAAGTGGCATCTCAGCTAGGTGCTCGGGCCTCACTGGAGTTGAGCCTTTGCAGCTGGCTCAGGCTGGCCAGGCGGAGTTTGAGTATCATCTCCTCCTGAGTCTTTAGTGTGTGTGCCACGATACGCAGGGATTCATTCTGCAGCACTGCAAGTGGGTAGGCAGGAGTGGAAGATCATCAGACCATGCTGTCCCACAACCTCCCCTCACCCAGCCCAGCATCAAGGAGTGCCCATGGAACACCCCCGCCTCCACTGCTGCAGCATCTGCAGTTGCTCCTTCCAACTGTGTAGAAGGGCTTCTAGTCTCCACTGCCTTGTCCCCTTCCCATGTGTACCCTGTTGTCCCTACCACTCAGGTAGACGGCCAGGATGGCGATCGCCAGGCAGGTGAGCACCAACAGTGCAACCAGTAGCAGGAAGCCCCCCTTGCCATACACAGGGTTGCAGCCAGCCTGGGTACACAGTGATGGTGGCAAAACACCCAGCAGCTCGTCCCATGGCCGTGTCTCTTCAGCCACATAGGGACACAAAGAGCCTGTAGGGTGAATGGGGGACATCAAGAGGTCAGCAAGTGGGCCTGCTTTTCTCCTCTCCCACAGTACATTTGTTGCCCCTCCCTGGTCCCCCCTCACCTCCACTGTGTAGGTCACTGATGGACTCCACTGGATACAGGGACACCTCCTGCACATGGTTGGGGGCCAGTGGCCCCCTGCTTCTCTGGCTTAGCATCATCGGTACCATGGTGTCTGCAGGGGCAGCACAGGGCTGATTCAGCTGATGTGAGTTACCCCCTTCTCCCAGCTGGCTTTAGGTAGCAGGGGCTTGAGGAGGGTGGGGATAGTGGGGCATTTGGCTTCAAATCCCCTAAAACTGACCAGGAATGACTCTTGGTTTGAATCCACAGCTGGACATACACCTGATTTATCTTCTTCCAAGACCCTCAGGGGCTTTGAGGCATTCCTCTGCCAGCTGTTTTTTTTTTGAGACAGAATCTCATTCTGTTGCCCTGGGTGAGTGCCCTGGCATTAGTCTAGCTCACAGCAACCTCAAGTTCCTTGGCTCAAGCAATCTTCTTGCCTCAGCCTCCTGAGTAGCTAGGACTGCAGGCATGTACCACCATGACTGGCTCATTTTTCCAATTTTTAGTAGAGATTGAGGGGAGGGGTCTCACTTTTGCTCAGGCTGATCTTGAACAACTGGCCTCAAGAGATCCTCCCACCTCAGGCTTCCAGAGTGCTAGGATTATACATGTGAGACACCACATCTGGCCAGCCAGCTCATTTCTAACAGTTTATCAGCCTTGCAGCCTATAGCACATGGAATTCAGTCCTGCCTCTTCTACTATCAGTTTTCCTTGCAGACCCTCTTAGTTAGCCATCTAGCCAGAGCCCCATTCTAGCCATTGTGGTGCCTCTCCCTCCTGGCCTTGGTTCTGAGTTCTCTACATACTCAGTGTGATACTTCTGTACTTCTGTGAACCTATATTTACATGTAAACATGCATACCTATACTTATTAATTTGAGAAATGGGAAATGGCTGGTTTTTTTGAGACAGAGGCTCACTTTGTCGCCCTGGGTAAGGTGCCTTGGCATCATAGGTCACAGCAACCTCAAACTCTTGGGCTCAAATGATTCTCTTGCCTTGGCCTCCCAAATAGCTGGAACTATAGGTGCCCGCCACACTGCCTGGCTTTTTTTAGAGATGGGGGTCTTGCTCTTGCTCAGGCTGGTCTTGAACCTGTGAGTTCAAGCAAACTACCCACCTTAGCCTCCCAGAGTGCTAGTATTACAGGTGTGAACCACCTTGGCTTAGAAATGGCTTTTTTTTTTTTTTTTGTATTGACAGAGTCTGATTCTATTGCCCTTGGTAGAATGCCATGGCGTCGCACAGCTCACAGCAACCTCCCAACTCTTGGGCTTAGGCGATTCTCTTGCCTCAGCCTCCTGAGTACCTGGGACTACAGGTGCCCTCCATAATGCCTGGTTATTTTTTTTGAAGTTTGGCCAGGGCCAGGTTTGAACCCACCACCCTCAGTATATGGGGCTGGCACCCTATCTACTGGGCCACAGATGCTGCCCAGAAATGGCTTTTTTGGATTGGTTTCTTAACTATTCATTCACAGCCTCTACTCATTTAGTCACTTGAGTCTGTATTTTTCTTGTGATCTTAATTAATTTTACAAGCATCATAGTGTTTATTTTGTGATTTCTAAATATTTATATTATCTTCTTGTGCTTCTTTGATTATTTATTTCTTTGAGACAGTCTTACTCATTGCCTCAGGTTAGAGTGCTGTGGCATCGTAGCTCACAGTAACTTCAAACTCCTGGGCTCAGGTGATCCTCTTGTTTCAGCCTCCTGAGTAGCTGAGACTATAAGTGCCTGCCATTATGCCTGCGTAGTTTTTTTTCCTTTTCTTTCTTTCTCTCTCTCTCTTTCCTTTCCTTCTTTTTCCTTCTTTCCTTCTTACTTTTTCCTTTTTTTCTTTCTTTTCTTTTCTTTCAAGGGAAAGATGGTAAAGTCCTGGCCCATGAGGTCTGCTGCCATTCCTGAGTATAGCTCCTCTCCTACAGACAAGGTTAAGGCAGCTCAGTCAAGCTGAGGACTCTTTGTTTGTTTGAGACAGAGTCTCAGTTTGTTGCCCTGGGTAGAGTGCCATGGTCTTACAGCTCACAACAACCTTAAACTCTTTCGGCTTAAGCGATCCTCTTGCCTCAGCTTCCTGAGTAGTTGGGACTACAGGCACCTACTGCAACACCTAGCTAGTCTTTCTATTTTTCGTAGAGATAGGGTTTCACTTTTGCTTAGGCTGGTGTTGAACTCCTGAGCTCAAGCAGTCCACCCTCTTCAGCTTCTCATAGTGTTAGGATTTTTTTTTTTTTTTTTTGTAGAGACAGTGTCTCACTTTATTGCCCTCGGTAGAGTGCGTGGCATCACACAGCTCACAGCAACCTCCAACTCATGGGCTTAGGCGATTCTTTTACCTTAGCCTCTTGAGTAGCTGAGATTCCTGAGCCAGAAAGAAACTCCAGGGTGGCACCCGTGGCTCAGGGAGTAGGACGCTGGCCCCATATGCTGAAGGTGGCGGGTTTGAGCCCAGCTCCGGTCATTAAAAATAAAACAAGAAACAAACTTCTGAGCTGAGGCAAATCACCTGCCTCACCCTCCCACAGTGCTAGGATTACAGGTGTGAGCCACAGGCACCTGGCCTTCAACTTTTTTAATTCTTGGTCCCATAAGATTTTCAGTTGTCCCCTTGGAAGTTAGATAACAATGTTTAAGAGGGCAGTGGGGGGGGAACACCTCCTGATAGGGATAAGGATGGCCTTGAACTCTGGCTCTGTCACTCAGGACAGTAATTTGATCTTCATGATTTACTTAAAACCGCCCCTTGACATGGTCAAAAGCAAGTAAAACAGGTGCTGCCAGTGATCACATCTGGGTGGTGGGTTAAAAGTAATGTTAAATTCCCTCTTTGCTGTGATTTTTCCACACTTTTTTTTGAAACAGACTCTCAAGCTGTTACCCTGGGTAGAGTGCCGTGATGTCCTAGCTCACAGCAACCTCCAATTCAGGGTCAAGTGATCCTCTTGCCTCAGTTTTTTTCTTTTTTTTTTTTTCTGAGACAGAGCCTCAAGCTGTCTCCCTGGGTAGAGTGCTATATCATCACAGCCCACAGCAACCTCCAACTCCTGGGTTCAACCTGCAATCCCTGGGCTCCTGCCTCCTCCTCCCAAGTAGCTGGGATTACAGGCGCCTGTCACAATGCCAGGCTACTTTTTGGTTGTGGCCATCATTGCTGTTTGGTGGGCCCAGGTTGGATTTGAACCTGCCAGCTCAGGTGTATGTGGCTGGCACCTTAGACACTTGAGCCACAGGCGCCGAGCCCAGTTTTTGTATTTTTAGTAGACAGATCTCACTTTTTTGCTCAGGCTGGTCTTGAACTCCTGAGCTCAAGCAATCCACCAATCTTGGCTTCTCAGCCTGCTAAGATTACAGGCGTGAGAGACTGCACCCCAGCTACC